CGTCATCCCTTTCCTCCTCCTCCTCCTCCCCCGTCTCTGCCTCCTTCGGCCCGACTTCCGCGGCGTCATCTACTCACTCATCGGTCGCTGCACCTGTGGTTTCGGGGCTACCCGCTCCGGGCCTGTTGGGCTCGGTATGGCTGCACGTGCCGGCGGCTAAGGACGGGTGCACACTGGGGCGGGGGGCGAGCCCGTGGCAGTCTGATGGAGGTGAGCGAGAAGACAGGATGTAGCTGATACTGGGCTAGGGCCGGAGTTATCCCCGAATTGGTCGTATATGTAGGATGGTGGGGGAAGTGCATGGGCGTGGCAAAGTGTGCGCATGGGGGCATGAATGTCATACATGGCAACAGGCTGGTAAGTGAATGGATGAAGAGCAGACGAACGCTGGATTGTGCAGGCAAGGATCTTGTTATGCGTATCGCTCGTTATATAATGCTGAAACACCGTACGGTTTCTACAGTACTACAGTTTATTTGCACCGTCCTTCTTCCGTTATTGGTGTCTTCCTAGGTTCTGCAGCTTTTCAAGCTCCTAGCAAACGGCGCCGTGCACTTTAGGATGAACCTGGCTTGTTAGGGCGCGTCGAAAACATCGTCCACACATCACTCGGCTGAAGCCTGCCTCACTAGCTGTGTCTTACACACCACCTCCCTCCAGACCCGCGGACGGGCCCTGGCAGATGGCTCTCCTGCTGGAGAGCCCCATGTCGGGTCTCCCACCACCAGCGGCACCACCAGCGCTTGCTGCCGCAGCTGTATCAGCCCCCACGACACAGGGCAGGAAAGGAACACCTGCGGCCCAGGGAGTCTCGGAAGCAGGGAGGGTGCCACCAGTGGCAGCAGCAGCAACGGCAGCAATGGCGGGGGCGGCGGCAAACGTGGCAGTGGTGACAGCAGCAGCAGCAGTAGCAGTAAGGGGGTGGATACCGCCTCTGATGTGATGGTAACCGCAGGCGCTCCATCCGTTCACAGTGATGCCGTCACATCTGCGGCACAGCAGGCAGAGGCGGCAGCGCCGCCAGTGTACGGCAATGCCACGCTGGAGGCCGGCGGGAAGGCTCATCATCACGCGGCCGCTGATGCAGGAAACTCCCGTCAGCACTCCTTCACATGGTCTCGGGGCGGCGGCGGCAGTTGGTGGGCCGAGCATAACCCTGCTCATAAGTGCAGATTGGTGGGCCTATAAGGAAGCAAAGCTGCTGCACGGCAGTCCGTACGATAGGTCTCGTCCAAGGTCCTTCGTTTTGCAGGTAGGCCAAATACTGTATGCCTCACAAGCTGGTATGGTACAGGTTGGCATTCCGGCGTGGGTCACAGGTTCATAATGGCGCCATGCCGGGTGAGACGCCGGGATGAGCTGTTGTGGTTCAACCGGAGGTGCAGGGCAGTGCGTCCTGGTTAGCATGGCGGTTCGTACTGCACACACATGGCGGCGCTGCGGGAGTAGTCAATAGGACCTGTGCACCTCGCGACCTCACTGCTCTGCACCATGTTGGTGTCTTGGACGGCAGATTGTGGAGGCGCGCGACCTGGCGGTGCACGACTGGGCCGGCACATGTGACCTGTATATTCAAATATCGTACAATGATCGTATGTACCGCACACGGACATTGTACAATGTGCACACGCCGGTATGGCAGCAAACATTCATCCTTCTGGATGACGGGTCGGCCCCAGGTATGTATGATGTTGTTACAGGGTGGTATAGCTTCACCAGCGGCCCCCTTTCCCGAGGCAGACCCTGCTCTCCCCTGCGAGAGGGGCACCCTAATCCGTTCACCCCATCCGACTTCAGAATGTATTCGTTGGGTTCAGCAACTCACCACCAGCATCCAACCAAATCTAGCGGATCAACGGCGCCACAACTAAACTAATATCAGTATTAGTTAAGACCTGTAATCACCGACAGCAGGATTGGCGGGTATCAGTTAATAACAGTGACGTTCAATAAATCAGACCGGATGAGCTAACCACGGACAATTAGGGATTCAGAGCCCGAACCGTGCAGAAAGCTTTACAGGATACAACAGGCACTGTGTTATAAACTTGCAAGCTGCTCTGTGCCTTACGCTATACTGCTACTCGGAGCATGATCTGCACTTTCTGTTACATGCAACCAAAGGATACGGCTTCCCGCTGCCATTAAAGGAACCGAAGTACAGTTCCATAAGTACGACAAATAGTCCTCAAGACAACAGTGGAGAGGTCTGACCGGAATAATCATCTGATTCACAACACACTGAACTTGATGATAACGCATAGTTGTTGTATACCGCTTTTTAAATTTGGTCCCAAACTGATACCTTTTCCATCTAGTTTTTCCTTTTCGCTTGGCTGGTTGTTGTACAAGTTCACAGGAACTAACTAAATTCCAATTGCCTATTTTGCCGCCTTTCTGTCAGATCTTATGGCGAGCGGGAAGCTGTCATGGATGCCTACAAGTAAACGCCACCTCGGGCGGAAGTCCATACTTGCAGAAGTATGGGCAGGGGTCGTAGCACAGGCTATGACTGGGATGCTGGTCCCTGGCTCGTGGAGCCCCGTCATCAATTGGAAGCATGGATCAACGGTATGACATTCCGGCACCATTTCAGGACTGGCCATATGATTCATGTGATGGCTGCATCCCCGCTATTTAAGCGGACTACACTCTTCCAATAGGTGTCTTCCGACACCACCATCCAGTTGCGATTTGGTTAGATAATAAAAAGTCTGGTATTGAGACAGTTCCTCCCGGGGCCTCTCTCTATCCTGAAGCTTTCAAGTTCCCACTCTACACTATCAAGATCCCGATCCCCTAATGGTGCGTGGATGTAGATGGATGGATCCTTTCTAGGACGCTTAATCATATTCTTTGTATTTTTGTTGCGGTGTTATTGATTGGTGTTGGTTTCGTGGATTAGACACATGTCTTCATCATAGGCATGTTCGCGGCTTGATTTCCATTTCGTGTGTGCTCCATAAAACAAATTTCAAAATCGTCTTGATAGCTCTCACTGCGACGTTCTCATTTCAATTGTCTATTTTGTCATAGGCGGTGTGAAGTTGTCCTGGGGGCACACTTTATAAAACCCTAAAACCCTAAGTTGTAACGTTGTTTTGTAAACCCAGTATATATTCTATTGAATGCAATGCATGGCCCGATCCGACGCTTCTGGCTCCACGCAAATTATTGGCAAGGATAGTTTACCTCAGATGCACGAGTTTCACTCTGTTGGGAGCACGTTTCATGCACTTTTTGAGTGGCTTACCAATCTCTGTCATACTGTCTTAGTCAGTCAGTCATGAGGACAATTGGAGAGGAGCCCATGACCCATTGCCATCAAGGACAGCTACCGGACATTGATACTTACCTATTACATTGTTCTGGGTATTATGTTACCCTTCCGAGGGCATTGGCGTGTACTGTAATTTTCAGTATGTGCGGTATTTCTACTTTCTACTTTGTGCAGTATGGGACAGATTTTTTTCTCATTGTGCCCAAGGCTAGAAGCTGGTGTCAGTGGAACTTTGTGCAGCATTTAATCGTTGTTACAAGCTTCATCACCGACCTCCCGGGCTGTCTAGGGTGTAGGGTGTCGTCTACTGTACAGTAGACGTCTACTGTACAGTACTGTACTGTACTGTAGACGTCTACAGTAGACGTCTACTGTACAGTAGACGACACCCTACACCCTAGACAGCCCGGCAGGTCAGTGACGAAGCTTGTGATGCCTGCTTGTTCTGTGTTCTTGTGCTGGGCAAACAGCGAAGAATCCACCAAGCTTACAGGGTTTGACTCTATTTGTAATTGTGAAAGAGGCTGCTTTAGCAGAGAAAGTTTTGCAGTGCTCATCCTCGGCACTGCCCTCCTCTAGAGCTTCTGCAATGAATTTTATAGGGACTGACTAGGCAGGAAAACGTTTCAGACAGCGTATTTCTCCACACTACACAAAAGACTACATTGAGAACCTTATTAGGGATCCCAACACACAAATCGTGCGGAACAGAGACCTTGACGAACCTGACTGTGTGATATTCCAAGGAAGGCTACCGACTGGTGATGAACAGCACCAGTTGGGTTCATCGGGTTGTAGTGTATCCATCAAGGTCTGGGAGCTGGAGAATAGTGACTATTGAATACATGAAGAGAGGTGACCATTATTGGAACAAGGATGTTGTCCCTGGGGGGCAACAGCTTGGTGTATGACAAAGCTGCTGCATCTAGACCTTGTGTCTTTTTGCAATCGGGGTTTGGCTGACATAGTTTGTAACGGTTCCATGCAGCTTCAGGATCAACTTGCTCACAAGGCGCAGCATCTGCAGCCCAACATGTCCTCTAGCGGTCCCCAGTAAGCCCTTGACCCGATCCAAGTAAATACAGAAGGATTCAAAACACCTTTACATTGCTTGTTAGTTGTAGCTTTTTCTGTGCTGGTGAGGCTCAGTCTGGCCTAGCCTGGCAGTCCCAGTCTAATGCACAGTTGGCCTAGTTTCTAGCCCATACATAAAGCATATAGGGTTTGGCACTACTGGTAAAGCGCGACCATTGCCCCCAGGAGATCCCGGGATCGAAACCCATTAGGTTTAAAGTCCTTCCGATGGTGGAAGGCATTGCACCCCTAGTTGATGGATGGTAGTGTCCTGGGATAAAGTTAACCTGCGAGCCGACCAGGAACACTGGTGGTGGGTGTGGAACCTGAGTGATCCACTGAGAAGTTGACTAGGGTGACTGGATGAGGGTGCCCCAAAATATTGGGGAAGGCAGGGTTTCGCAGGGTAGCTGCCACAGGTGAAGATACACCTCCCTGTTTCACACATCATAAAGCAGTGTCTTATGACTGGTTTACCTAGTCAGTGCACTGAAATTTGACCGATGTTCTCTGCAGCTGTCCTCTTCAGGTTTGACATTCAGTCATGAACTTATGCAGACAGACACACTGTCTCTTTACTTTATGAAGGCCAAACAAGGTGTCATCACCGACACAGACCATATCACCACCGGCATCATCACTGACTATGACGACCATGGAAAGCTGGTCTCACTGGATATACACGCAGCTTCGAAGAAGAAAGACATCATGCCACTTCTTCAACACTGGAGCAGAGGTGGATGGCAAGCTGCCACTGGCCATCAACTGGCATTACAACACTGAGTACCAACAACTTGTGGTGCTCCTCAGCTTGCAGGATGTAAGCATCATTACCAACATCATGGAGACCGATGATCTGAACATCATGTTGGGTATGGACCTAACGGGCAAGCTCTGCACGGTCTACATGTCAAACCCCCCCGTGTCACAAACATGTTCACCGCTGCCACAATGGACTGATCATGTTCACGCCCATGTGGTTGTTCCGGGGTGATCACCTCAACAAGAACTTGTCTTGTGGCAAGGGTCTGTAAAGGCTTGGAAAATGATGCCTGGGTGTCAGTTGTAGCTTTCATGATGGGTGTTGTGTTGGGTTACTCCCAAAGGGTTTGTCATAGAGGAAAATGATTTTTGCGTCCAGAGCTGCCTACGATTGAGGACAGAGCACCTGATTGAAAGGCATGCATATGTGGTTGATAGATATATATGAGAGATGGCCTGCTTTCAGTAGGCACATACACAAGGCCGCCCAACTGTTGGCAAGGTTTAATCCCTGGCACATGTGCATTTGATGCGTGTACTGGTGCTTTGCAGAGGGGCCTGCCTGGCTTGACTTGTTATGTTGAAAGTTGATAGGGCTAGCTGACTGGGCTGGAGGCTCTTGGCTTGCTTACCAGGTAGCTTGGATGCTGACCAGAGCATGTCCTGTTCCAAGAGAAGAGGGGATTGTCAGTCCCCTCTTCAGGGGACTGACAATCAATGGAACAATCTGAAGCTTCCTGCTTCACACAAGTGATTGATATGAAGAATTCATTTGAAATGAGCTCGTGGTGCATCATTTGGGGTGTGTTTCTCTTTCATTAGGCTTGCCTTACCAATCTCTGTCATGCTGTCTTAGTCACACGAGTCAGAATGGCTCCATGACAAACAATTTCTACAAGCAAGTGTAGGTTATAGAGATGAATCTTCAACAAATCAAACCTCAAGATGCATTCATGATGTATGTTTCACGTGCAGCCTGTGGGATGAAACTCATGGGTTTTGAGCCATGGACTCATGGTCGACTAAACTAGTGGAGGACAAGTTTGAGGTCGGCAAATGCATCATCAAAAGGGTGACATACTCAAGCTTGACAACTATGGTCGTGTCTACATGCCTGTCTATGAGGAGTGCTACATGCAGTACTATATTGACCGATGGGATGAAGTCGGGGTGATTAAGGCAGTGGAGACCATTCTGTGGACAATGGAGTGCAGGGCTTTGGTGGTACAGGTCCGTCTGAAGAAAAGGAAGTGGTCTGCTCACATGTACAACATGGAAAAGAAAACCCATGGTGAAGAGGTCTAAACCCTGGCTGCACTATGGAACTAGATCTTGTTTTTGCAACTTCCCACAGGTTGCACATGAAACAGTCATCATGAACATATCCGGAGGTTTTATTTGTTGAAGATTCATCTCTACAACCTACACTTGCTTGTAGAAGTTGTTTGTCCTGGAGCCATTGTCCTGGAGCCATTCTGACTCTTGTAACTAAGACAGCATGACAGATTGGTAAGGCAAGCCAAATGAAAGTGAAACACACCCCAAATGATGCACCATGAGCTCATTTCAAATGAATTCTTCATATCAATCATGTGTGCATGAAGCAGGAAGCTTCAGATTGTTCCATCGATTGTCAGTCCCCTCTTCTCTTGGAACAGGATGCAGGGACATGCTCTTGACCTGGTAAGCAAGCCGAGAGCCTCCAGCCCAGTGAGCCAACCCTAGCAACTTTCAACATAACAAATCAAGCCAGGCAGGCCCCTCTGCAAGGCACCAGTACACGTATCAACTGCACATGTGCCAGGATTAAACCTTGCCAACAGTTGGGCAGCCTTGCCACACAGGTGCGGTGCCAAGCAGGCAGTCTCCCATATATCTATTAACACATATGCATGCCTTTCAATCAGACAATCAGACTCTGGCCTCAATTGTAGGCCACCCTGGACGCAAAAATCATTTTCCTCTATGACAAACCCTTTGAGAGTAACCCAACACAACACCCATTGTAGCTTTCACGGATTGACACCCAGGCCTCATTTTCCAAGCCTTCACAAACCCTTGCCACAAGACAAGTTCTTGTTGAGGCAATCACCCCCGAACAACCACATGGGCATGAATGTGATCAGTCCATTTTGGCAGCAGTGAAAGTGTTGGACACAGGGTTTGACACGTAGACCGCACAGAGCTTGCCTATTAGGTCCATACCCAATGAGACATTCGGATCATCGGTCTCCATGATGTTGGTAATGATGCTTACATCCTGCAAGCTGAGGAGCACCACAAGTTGTTGGTACTCAGTGTTGTAATGCCAGTTGACGGCCAGTGGCGGCTTGCCATCCACCTCTGCTCCAGTGTTGAAGAAGTGGCATGATGTCTTCTTTGAAGCTGCACGTATATCCAGTGAGACCAGCTTTCCATGGTTGTCATAGTCAGCGACGATACCAGTGGTGATATGGTCCGTGTTGGTGATGACACTTTGTTTGGCCTTCGTAAAGTAAAGAGACAGTGTGTCTGTGTCCGCATAAGTTTGTGACTGAATGTCGAACCTGAAGAGGACAGCCACACAGTGTTTTTTTAATATATTCCTTGTAAGGAATAAAGAGGCCATTTTGGCCTATGGAAAAACGGGATGAATTGAGGCCGATCCGTACATTTTCATTCCTCCAGCCAAAAAATGTCCATTGCTGCCAGATTGCTCCATAGTGTGCAGAACTTAGTATTATCCATCATAGAATAGATATGAGGGGCCCTAAGAAGGTCAACCCCAAGAGTCAACATGGCATAGCAGAATGTATGACCAGTCCTCACATAGCCAAACACACATAGAACAAACACCAAAACAGCAAGATAAGCCTGAAAATTGTGACGGCCTGTGATTTGCTATGTGGTTGCTTGCTTTGGGCCTTTGCTTGGTGGGATTTACTTATTCCCTATGGCATAAACATGCCGGTTACCGACCGTTTGGGGCCCGGCTGGTTGAATGGTGTTGATGGCCCAGTTGGGTTAACAGTCGGTTGGGTTAACGGCCAGTTGGGTTAACGATCAGTTGGGTTAACGGTCGGTTGGGTTAATGGGCCCCAAACGGTCGGTAACGGGCATGTTTATGCCATAGGGAGTATCCCGGTAGCGTGGGAAGCATCATTCGCGAATATTAATTAAAGGCCTCTAACACTGCAGGAAAATTTTAGTAAAAGATTTAGAAATATGTATGTATTTAGTTTTAGTGTTTGTTCCTGCTTTGAGGGCGTGAAATGCTGTGTCATTGTCCCTAATAAGTCATTGTCCCGGCATTTCAATTGTCGCCCATAAGCATGAACCAGGCCACCAACTCACAAGCTTACATGCAACAACGAAAACCAGGCAATACTAGCTACGCAAGCTATGCTAGGACAAACTTTTGAGACGACCAGAACAGCAAGAAGTGGTGTCAAGCCAATGTCCCCAAGCAACTGCTTTGCATGAACCTTGTGACAATGGGCATTGTCACAAAGAAACTGGTTGCAATCAGAAATGCATTTTTGCTCATGCCAGGTTACCGACATCAGTTAACAGTTAACGGATAATCCTACCGACCGGAACTGGGCCGGAACTGGCCTGGAGTATGCCATTGGGATTGCTCACAAACAGTGCCAGAACTATCTATGCATGTGCATGAAGAGTGCGCACATGAACAAAAACGCGCCAACTCAGTGCGTGCCTCTTGGTCTATGAGGGGAGTTGTAACTTATCGGGGAGGGGGGGGGTGGTCTGTCAGTGAAAAAAGTGGCTGCAGTGAAAAAAATCACTGCAGCCACAGAGGATATCGGTCAAATTTCGGTGCACTGACTAGGTAAAACAGTCATAAGACACTGCTTTATGTATGGGCTAGAAACTAGGCCAACTGTGCATTAGACTGGGACTGCCAGGCTAGGCCAGACTGAGCCTCGCCAGCACAGAAAAAGCTACAACTAACAAGCAATATAAATGATCAACCTGGTCCGACAAGGTGTTTTGAATCCTTCTGTATTTACTTGGATCGGGTCAAGGGCTTACTGGGGACCGCTAGAGGACTTGTTGGGCTGCCGATGCTGCGCCGAGGTCTTCTTGTAGCCCAGCGGCGTGAGCGAGTTGATCCCGAAGCTGCATGGAACCGTTACAAACTATGTCAGCCAAACCCCGACTGCAAAAAGACACAAGGTCTAGATGCAGCAGCCTTGTCATACCTCAAGCTGTTGCTCCCCAGGGACAACATCTTTGTTCCAATAACGGTCGCCTCTCTTCACGTATTCAATAGTCACTATTCTCCAGCTCCCAGACCTTGATGGATACACTACGACCCGATGAACAGCGCCAGTCGGTAGCCTTCTTTGGAATATCACAGAGTCGGGTTCATCAAGGTCTCTGTTCCGCACGATTTGCGTGTTGGGATCCCTAATAAAATTCTCAATGTAGTCTTTCGTGTAGTGCGGAGAAATACGCTGTTTGAAACGTTTTTTCTGCCTAATCAGTCCATATAAAATTCATTGCCAAAGCTTTAGGTTGAGTTAGAGGAGGCAAGCACGCCGGAGATATCCTTCCTGCGCCCAGTTCCGTACCGAGGACGAGCACTGCAAAACTTTCTCTAAAGCAGCCTCTTTCGATAATACAAACAGAGTCAAACCCCGTGTTAGGTTTTCTTGTTAGTTGTTAAGTCGTTAACTTTACTCGTGGACGATCATTTGAGATACGGATAATGTACGACCTTCCGGCGCCGCCTAGGCTCTGGATAACTATTTAAGTCGTTGTTGTTGTTTAGTTTGTTATGTCATCATTGTTACATCTTGTAGGTTGTTAGCTGGCTTAAGTCGCTCGGCCCTCTTTGTAATCATCGTGGCATCCCAACGAGAAACGGAGCCTATGCCCTTTCAGTTGGTATCGATCTAGACGATCCGGCCTATACGCTTCGCTCCGCCTTCGTCTTCATCGTCTTCGTCGTCATCGCTTTCGTCTTCGCTCCGCTGGTCATCTTCGTCATCGTCGTCTTCGTCATCTTCGTCTTCGTCATCCTCCGATGGCTCCCGTCCCCATCACGGGACTCTATCAAGCGCAGCTTGCTATGTTTGCCTTGACGCAGGGTTCCGGACCAAACTCCTTACAATGCTACATTGCGGAATTCCAACGCCTTATGGCTGACCTGCCGTACCGCCACGAGAAGGACCACGTCCTCTTCTTCGCGCAGGGACTGCAGGACGACCTCAGGAAGGAGATCTTCTCGCACTTACGCAACCCGGGTTCCTACATACGACTGCAGGATGTGATCGACCTTGCATGCACCATTTCAATGGAGCACGATGCCGCTCACCGCTCACCGCATTCGCTACCGCAGGGCACCTGCACCATCAACGTCCCCACCGACCGCTCGCCCTTTCGTTCCACCACCTCTCGAACCGCAAACCGCTCTCCCTCCCGCTCCCCCTCCCCCTCTCCGACTCGCACCGACAATTCCGACCGCCGTCGTCAGGACAACGACCGTGGACGCACCTTTCTCTCCAGTTCAGACAGCCCCCAGCCTTGCCGCGATGACCAGCACCGCCGCGCCGACCCACCCCGCCGCCGCCGCCGTTCGCCTCGATCCCGTCAACGTGGCCTTTAAGCCACCACCGGCAGAACAGGTTAGCCACAGCTTGCCGGTGCGTTTTGCTGTGCAACGGTCAGCCGAGTCTGACACCCCGCCGCCGTCACCGTTCAACGTTTCGCGCCTAACCCAGATCGCCAGTAAGCCCGCCCGCCATGTAGGTTGTATGCGTGCTCGTGTAGCTGCAGCCTCCACGACGGAAGCGCACCGGGTGGACAGCGACTGGATGCTTTCGCGCACCGTCTTCGTCCTCTCTTATCTCGTCGTCTCCATCGTCACCTACTTCGTCGTCTTCGTCTCCTCTTATCTCGTCGTCTCCGTCGTCACCTACTTCGTCGTCATCACCAACGTTCTTCGTCTCGCGAAAATCGTCCGTAAGCCTGCCCGTCTTGCCGGCTGCAAGTGTGCTCGTGCAGCTGCAACCTCGACAACGACGGGAGCATGCCAGGCGAACAGCGATTACACCCTTTTACTCTCACGTCTTCATCCCCCACCCTGTTCCCTGATACCACCCTTCACCCCGTTTCCACCTCGTCCCATCCTTCACCATCTTCTGCCAACCATCCGTCATCGCCTTCAAGTCTGTCAGAACTCTCATCGTTCATTTCTCCAGTCCCCATCCAGCACCTTTGCCCCAACCATCGGACTGCCCTTCACCTCAACCTACTGTTGCTAATCTTATCACCAGCCTTCTCACCGTCGTCCTCCAGCTCCACCCGCCGTGCCCATCACACTGGAGTCACCGTACGACCACGCCGACACTATCGTTACTGCAGTTCGCCTAGGTTATAACCGACGTGGTCGGCCGTCCGTCATGTTC